AGTCAGTCTGCCTGCTCTCGCCGCCCCCGCTGCGGCGCTGACTCACGGCTCCCGCCCTCGCAGCCCCTCCCAGCCCTGGCAGGGGTGAGCGCTGGGAAGGGGCGACGGAGTGGCCGGTATCCTCGGGACGGGAGGAGGGAAGGTGTCACTGGGGAGCGATTGGGATCCTGGGAGGGGTCCGTGCCCAGGCTCTGGGCTGCAGCTAGGGGGTTTCTGCAGCAACAACTGGTGGTTGGGGTGATCCCCTCTGCAGGAGCACAGGGCCAAGCTGGGCACCATGCACTGGCCAAGCCCTGCAGGGTGACCACTCATCCCCTTTCTCTCTCCCTGAAGCTGAATTGCAGCATGCAGCACCTGAGTGTGAAAAGCTCCAACAGCAACCAGTAAGTAGGAAGCCATGGTCTTTATTTGTGCCTCTGCTGTCCCCAACCTGTGCTCTGGAGACAAAACCTTCCCATCAGTGGAACATGCCACAGCTCCTGGTATCCCCTGAGCTGCAGAGGGCAGGAAGAGGAGAGGAGAGGGCCCTGTGGTTCAGCAAGGCTGTGGGGCACTCCAGGGATGCCCTGTCAGTCCCAGGGCCGGGCTACCTCTGGCTCTGTGCTCGCACTCTCGTCTTTGGCCCTGGAAGTGCCCCAGCTCCTGTCTCCCATTGCAGGAAGCCTGATACAGTGAAGCAGAAGAATGCCTTCCCACCCAACTTCATCCACTCCCTGGACTCCACACACATGATGCTCACAGCTCTGCACTGTCTCAGGTGGGGAGCAGGCCTGGCTCTGCCCCGACTCCGGGACTTGGAATCCTGAATGTGGGAAGGAGGTTTTCCTGTTGGTTGTGTGCTTGGGATTCTGGCAGAGAAGGGGAGAGGGGAGTCAGCAGGGAGGTGGTGGCATTAGCTGTCAGTCTCTGGAGATCTGCAGGTGCTGATCTGCATGGAGTGTCCCCCCTGTTTATGTCCCAGTAAGAGGGTCTGGGTGGGGTGGGGGATATTGCAGGGGGGAGCTCACAGCTCCTTCTGCTGCCTCCCAGGCAGGGTCTGACCTTCGTCTCAGTCCACGATTGCTACTGGACTCACGCGCTTACTGTGGACATCATGAACCAGGTAGAAGCGTCCTCCCAGGTCCCTTGTGAGCAGGGATGATGTTTATCTGTCCCCTGGGCACTTGCCAGCCCTTGGCTCCCTTGGGCTTTGCTGATTTATATACCCAGGCGAGGTGAGCCTGGGGTTGCTGGCGTTTGCAGCTGGTTTCCCAGTGACATGGCTTCATCCCCTGCCACCCTTCAGGGAGCATGTGGGGAAGAGTCTGTGCCTGTAAATCAGCACAAAACATGGCACCGAGCAGCCTTGGCACTTGGGTCCTGCCCTGGCCTCTTCCCCCTACAGCACAGTGAGGGCTGTTGTACCCGTTGGGGGTGGTCTCTGCTACACACCTCCCCTGGCTGATTCCCTTCACCCTTGTCTGGCAGTCCCCCATTCCCATGCTTGCCCACTGCCTTCCCTGCCCCTCACCTCAGACCTGTCTTGGCTGAGATGCTCTGAGAGGAAGGAAAGCACCCATTAACCTGCAGCTCATCATTGCTCCCTGGATCAGATCTGTCGACAGCAATTCGTGGCTCTGCACAGCGAGAAGATCCTGCAGGATCTGTCTGAGTTCATGCTGGAGAAGTACTGCAGGTATTCCTTGCCCGTTGGTGAGCCCCCACCATGCTCCTTCCCACCCCACCTGATTCCCTCTCCTGGGGGTGGTTGTGTCATCTGCCGAGGGGTTGCTCTGGAGGAAAGTTGTGCTTTTTTCTTGACTGATGCCAACGTTGCCTTTGACCTTGGTGTGGAAAACAAAGTGTCTGCATCCTTTTGCCACAGAACTGAAGTAGGATTTGGTGCTTGGATCCCTCAGTGGGCCTGGGGCAAGCCAAGATGTCTGTGCCCTGGGTTCCCCATTCTGAACAAGGCAGTAGGCAACAGTGAAGACGTTAAATCGGCCCAGTGTGTGACCCTGTCACCACCACACAGAGCAGACCTGTCCTAGGCAGGGTCTGTAGATGCTTGAGCACCAACCCAGGGCTGCTGCTGCAGGAGCTGTGATGTTTTAGAGGAGCTGAAACGTGATGTTGGGAGCTTGCATCAGGGAGCAGAGGAGGCTGCACCTTCTCCCAGAGCTCCCATACTGATTTTCTTTCCTTCTGGTTCATCCAGCCCTGGCAGAGAGACTAGAGCCCCCTGGCAGAAGAAGCTGATGGAGCAGCTGTCCAATGTCCCCAAGACAGGTAGGAGCACAGGACAGGACCTGCAAAGCTCAGGAGCAGTTTGAGCACAGGGGGTTTGAGATGAAAAGTGACCCCCAGAATCACTGGGGTCAGAAGTTGGAGATGGTGAAGGTCTGGCCACCAGGATGAAGTTTTCCTGCCGTGCTGGGCTGCAGAGCCACGGAGGAGTGGCATGAGATTTTCCTCCCTATGAGCCCTCCCTGCCCTCCCCAGAGCTGAGTCCTGGGATTCTCCCCAGGTTGACCCAGCTCATCCCATCCCCTGTCTTGTTGTTCCTCTCCCATCTGTTTCCAACCACGAGGTATTTGCCAGGAGATGGGATGAGGCACTCAGCATGGTAATTGCCGGGATCTGGATGATAAACATGCAGTGGGATTAAGGCAATTAGTTTAACTCCTAATCTCTGGGCCCTGCCTCTGCCATGCCATCTGCCTGACCCCAGAGCTGCCTGGTCAGCACCAGAGGCAGCACAATCCGGGGGCAGGAATGGTTTGTGCTCTCAGGCCATTGCTCCTCTTCTCCTGCCCTGCCTGGCTGCTGTTACTCTTCTCTCTTGTTCTTGCTACCAATGTCCCAGATAAATCCAGAGGGTCAGTTCTTGGATTGCCTCTGAGATCCCTGGGACTGAGCTGAAGCAGTTTTCTGCAGGAAGCTGTGGCAGGGCTGGGGGCAGCTCCTCTCCCCGTCTCCACACTGCCCTCACCCTGCTCTCCTCTGACCTCTTCCCAGGTGACTTCAACCTGAAGGAGGTGATGGATTCCACCTACTTCTTCAGCTGAGCCCCAGCAGCTGGTGGGGCCCTGCACTACCTCTGGCCTATGAGGCTCCCTTGGGGAGTGGGGTTTGGCTGCCAGCCCAGCACCAAGAGGAGGGGGCAAACTGGGAGCAGCCCTGAGGGGCCGGTGGGTGATGAATCTGCACTGTTTGCTGTTCCTGGGGGAGGGGGCTGCCAGCCCTGGGGGAGGGCCATGTCTCTGGTGTGGGGTGGAAGGGACAATGGCAGCCAGGACTCTCTGCAGTCCTCACCCTGGCATAGGGTGACTGTCCCTGTCGCTGGGGTGCCATTGCTCTCCAGCAGGGGTGCTCAGACCTCCTGGGGTGTTCAGTCCCCTGGAGGGGTGGCAGGAGCCCTGGGGTGGGCCCTGCTTCCCAGGCTCTGCTCCAGCCGTGGGCTTGATGCTGTTACCACTCTCCTGTTGTACAGCCTCTGCAGGTCCTGACTCATTTCCAGGGATTTGTTTCACTTCTGCTTACTGGGTCTCAGGAAGGGAAAACCTCCAGGGGGTGGAAGTGTACAATACTGTAAATAAAATGTTTTTTTGAAGTACTAGACGGGAACTGAGTCCTCAGCATTTGTGGGGTGCCTTGGCTGTCACCCCATCATTCTGGGCGTGCTGAGGGGGTGAGACTAGTGTTCCCCCAGACTTCTGCTGTTCTGCTGACTCGTCCAGTTCTTCACAGAGGTGTCACATTCTGAAAATGCTTTTGTAGCAAAAACAGAGACAAAACCTCCCCACGTGTGGCTGACTAGCACAGTGGCAGTGGGAACGGCTCGCTTCCAGCTGGGTTCCTCCTGTCCCATCGAGCCCACCTCTCCACAGGTTCCATGTCCATGTGCTGCTTCATTTTTGGGCAGGAGATCCTGCAGCCGAGCTGGGTGTTTGTCCCTGAACCCACTGGCTCCAGGTCCCCGCTTGCTCTTAGCTCCTTCCTCGCTGATGCTGGAGCAGGGACACAGTGCTGCCAGCAAAGGGAAAGGTTCTGGGAGGAGGTGTTTCACCTTGTAATTTTCTGGCAGGGAAGCAGCTCTTCAAAGGACAGAGCTGGCATCTGCGGCCCAGGCTGAGGCTGTGCCCATGGCCAGGCTCCCAGTGCTGGGAGGGGAGCAGCCAGAGCTGCAGGGGGGGGGGGATGGTGGCAAAGGAGAAGCAGAGACATGGGGAGCTCTGTCAGTTGCTGACATTTATTGCACAGGAGGAGCTGGATGGAAGGTGACCTGGGAGTGGGGGCATCCTGCCAAGGGTTGGGGGTGTGTGACCCCTCGGGGTGGTACATTCACTGTGGAAGGCTCTGGAGTGCTGGGCAGAGGCACACAACACGTGTGCACCTGTGGGTGTGCACACACACACACACACAGTGTCTGCCCTCCCCAGCCTGACCCCCATGTGGGTCTCAGGCTCCAGTGTCTGTCTGTGTCCTAACTGTGTTGTCCCCAGCCCTGGGGGATGGCCTGTGCGTGGGGGGCTTGCAAGCACAGGGCAACTGTCCCTCAGACCCCCTGCCCCAACTTACCTCCAGTTCTGGACTGTCACCCCTCGCCGTGGGGCGGTGGGAGGGGAGGCAGGGACACGCACAGGCACCGGGACAGGACAGTGTGCCTAAAGCCCCGGGGAGCTGTCCTGCAGGTGCACAAACAGGGATGTACTCAGGGCATATGCATATATATCTATATATATATCATACACAGAGTTGATCACGAGGGTGATGCAGCTGTGGCTATGGGGCAGCGGGGGGGGCAGCAGAGCTTCACCGTGGGGAGTGGGAGATGGGGCCAGACTTTGGTCAGAGGCATCACAGCCGGGGGGGCTGAGTCCAGCCCCCACCATGTTGGGGGGCACTGGGACCCCATACCCACCCGGCAGCTGCCCAGCTCTGGGGGGGACAAAGCCAGGGAGTGAGGCAGGTGGGCGGCGGGGGGAGGCACCCGGGGAGGGGTGGTCGCAGCCCCCT